CTGGTGGAATTCAAAAACTATTTAATGAAAGGGAAGGGGGATACAATTTAAGGGGTCAGTTAAATTATAAAAATTCATGCTATACGTACAACCAAAAAAAGATTCTGTATTTCCATAAGTGGGGTAAAAATATGGAATAATTTAAGTGTGGACATAAAACACAGTAAGAGAATTGATGAGTTTAAAAACAACTATAAAGGTATGTGTCAATCAAGATACGGGCAAGAACAGGCTTAACGATAATCAGGTGAAACATTGTGAGTGTGGTGTTTTTAGTATATCACTAGCGTGGTGCAGAACTAAATTATCTATGTAGTAATACTGCTTGCAAACCAATGATGATAAGATGATGTTAGGGGGTAGGACTAGATAAGTCTAACTTCTTCCTACTCCGTTCAAGCATGTACTAGGTATAAGCAAATTGATAATATATTTGTGGATATGTGTGGAATTATGTGTGTTGACATATTGACTGTTGTTACATGTTTGAAAGAATAAATCAAATCAAATCAAATCAAATCAAACATACTTGGCCAAATATAGGTGATTATTATTATATATTTACCACTCAACACACTGGTCCATACACTTTAACTGTTCTTGGTAGGTGACTAACACTGATCCCAGCTCCTATTATAATAATAATAAAGTATTATTATTATTAAATAGCAATATTATTATTGTTATTGTTGCATGTTATTGTATTAACTACTTAAATACACACAGAGAAACAAGACCAAGGTGTTCATTATTGATGATCTATCTAAAATTTTCAGGGCATAACTTCTGCGCAAATGCTATTTTAAGAATTTCAAACATCTAGTTTTTTTTACCTAAAGGTTTTGTATTGCCTAATACATCAAGAATTAAATGAATAATGTTCATACTGTAGACTGGAACCTTTATAGATTGTAAGTATGCAGTATGTGTGAGGGATCTCCAATATAAGCTTTATGTTTTCGGCCTCTCTGGCTTACTGTATAACATTTACTGTGTTAATAAAGTAAACCTCCATAGTGAAAAATGGGACAAATAACATCTTAATATCTTAATTTCTAATAAATAGAAAAGTTTTCATACAATAAATCTGATAACCTCATCAAAAGGCAACTATTTTGCATTGCTTCATACATGTTTAATGTCCTACTGCATGTCAGTCTTAGCACAAACTTTCTGCATTGCTCTTGGGTATTATTGTTTACCCTTGTGCTTAAATAGCAGTAGGCAGCAGAGTCTTTTACATTACATCTGACAACACAGTGCACCTGCAGGTAAGATGGCAGCTACAAGCTCAGCGGCACAACCAGCACATTATCAAAGATTGCTTGTTAATAGGCATAACATTAATGACAAGCTACAAGCTCAGCGGCACAACCAGCATGTTATCAAAGATTGTTTGTTAATAGGCAAAACATTAATGACGTTTTTGTTTTTCAGCTAAAACTTGTTCCTTCATCTGTGGGAACATTTTCAACAGTAAAAACAATATTATAGTTTACAGAACTGTACAGCTATGTATCCAAACACATCTTCTACAGTTTTACTAACACTGGAAACACTGGGCTTATCTAATGCAAATGCTTACCCAGCAGTCTTGTTTGGAATTTTAACATATCTCCTTATTATGAGTTGCAATTTAATGGTGTTAGTAACTATTGCTGTGAGTAAAAAGTTACATAAGCCCATGTATATCCTGCTGTTTAACTTGCCCGTCAGTGACATGGTAGGCGCTACAGCTTTTTATCCTCAGCTAGTTTTTAGCATTGTGATAGACAGCAGACTGGTTTCCCATCCTGCATGTGTAACTCAGGCTTTTCTGATTCATGTTTATGGTTCAGGAAACTTGTTTATCTTGAGTGCAATGGCATATGATAGATACATTGCGATATGTTGTCCCTTAAGGTATAACTCTGTCATGAATCCAAATAATTTAATGAGAATTACCATTTTAATATGGGTTATAAATTTGTCATTGCTGGGCATTGTTTTTTTACTGCTTGCACGGGTTAAAATCTGCAGGACAGATATAGTGGATTTGTACTGTAACAATCCAACATTAGTGAAACTGGCATGTGAGGACACCAAGGTGAACAATTATTACGGATTGTTTAATATAGTCTTAATTCAAGGTGGATCATTGCTAATAATGATTTACACCTATGCACAGATTTTGCATACATGTCTCTTAACTAACCAGGCTGACGCTCGTCGAAAAGCCATTCAGACTTGTGGTACACATTTAATTGTTTACCTAATCTTTCAAATCAATATAATGATAACACTCATTTCTCATCGCTTTGAGAGTTTTTCTCCTTTTCTGAGAAGGGCTCTTGGTGTCTCAATCTTAGTTTTTCCACCATTTTTGGACCCGATTATATATGGACTAAAAACCACAGAACTGAAACAGAGCATCATAATGTTGCTAAGGAAAAATGTAGGTTTAATAAAGATGTAACCAGTTTTTGGGCTTGACTCTTCTGTCTATATAAAATATGTTTTTAGGCATTATCAAAACACTACATGAAACAGCTGAGGGTTTTGCTCTTCTGGATGTGTCTATTGAACGTTATTTTAATATGATAAGAACCATGAAAGGAACTAATCTGAGTGAAAGGCTGTGGAAATGAAGGACAATAATCACAGACTGTTGTAAAACAAGAGATTTCTGACAGCGCATCCATACTGGAAATAAGAGTGATAGAGCAAAGATACAGTATGTATATACAGTAGAAATTCTGCCTTGTGTGAAATTTTGCTATGTAAAGCCATTTTGTCCAGATTTTTTTTTATGTGTGGGCTATAAAATTGAGCCAGTGATGCAGAAATGAAAACCAAATGTTTTTGATTACAATAGAGATTATGTGCAAATGAATAAATTTGTTTTGTCTGTTACAATGAAATAAAAGTTTAATGATTTTTGCATTATGTATGTGCTCTGTGTGGAACAATAATTTCTTAATGAATAAAATCAATATTAAAGCAAATGTGGACAATGTGTGACATGACATGATTTGATATTTTCTAATAATGCACTATAAGAGGAATTAACTATTTTATTTTGGAACATTTCTCGTTTAAAATTGTTAATGTCATAACGTTAATAGACTGGCATCACATTTTGAGATGTGCAAACTTAGGAAATAAAATTACAGAGCTCATGATAAGAGAAAAATGATGAAGCTGTACTGTAAAGTGGGCGTCACAAAATTGATGCCTAAAATATATTCAACAGAGACACTGTTACCAATGACTACATAGTTATATTACCACAGATTTATAAGTTTACAGATTGACTACACTGCTGAAACACATTGGGCAGAAGTATTTATACACTGTGAAGCATTATGCAGGAATTTAGTGGGATCAGCATCAGAACTTATAAACTGAGTTGTCCTAACTTATGGTCATGTGACTTGAAATGTTATGTTGAATGAAACTGCTAAAGGTCACTCAGCCCAGCTAAATTTATAAGAAATGTAGCCTGATAGCAAATTTCCCATCATGCACTATTTTACAGCTTAAACACTGCACTATATTTTGTAGTTTGAATAAAATATTCATGACGCAAACTTGGTGTGTGGTTTTAAAACCTGTGAAGATAAGTCATGGTTGATTCTTTTCATAATAATGAAAACAGTGACAGCTAGATATATTATGCCGTCAAGTTAATCAGTGTTTGAGTTATGCTCACAAGCAAGTGAATAAAGCATTACATTATAGGGTAGCAGATAGCATGTGTACAAAGCGTTAGACAGAAACTGGGGTTTGCATCCTGAGTTCTATCTATATGTAGATTTAGCCAGCAAAAGCATTTAGCCTTCTTAACCTAACCGTATGCCATAAAAAGCTTAATGCTGTAGTTGCCATGAGTGAGTATGCTATTGTAATACAGCATATTTTGTCAGAAAACAAATAAAATATATTGCCAGGTAATGGCTTACTGATACAGACAGAATCCATGTTGTTCACACTAGCCAGATACTGTATGTTAACTGACACCATTTCCTCCTGATGTTAATAAAAGACATAATCCGACTACTGTAGCATTATGTTGCTTTTTAATTTGCTGTTGCAAATTACTTTAAGCACAACTTCTAGGAGACAGGGCTTGAGAATGAATAGTTTTTTTTAGTCTTATTTTTAGCCACTTCTGGGTGAGCTGTAGAGATAAAGAATGGTTTAGAAATACAGGCCAGTCTGGCCACTCAGAAGGACCACACTGAGGCATCCTTGTTGTCTAGCACATGAATGATTACTCTTCAGCCCTAGGTTGTAAAACTGGAGCATCTGAAACATGACCTCCATAACTAAAATGTTATCACATATGATAAATTCTACAATCCACCTAAATTCAAATTTAACTATAGAATACATTTTTAAAATCTGTCTCTGTGTCAAAGATTTTTCACTTTTTGGGTTAATGTGTGGGTGGTGGTGAGATAAGTAATACATTTCATATTCCTCCAAAGCCCCTTGTGAGGCTGTGCCTAAGATGCTGCCACAACAACCTAAAGATAAACTTTATGATAACCCAGAAAACTCCAGGGAGCTCAGGTCTATAAAACCGCTGATCCTTCTGAACACCTAACCAGTGGGTCACTGGCCATTCTGGGAGATGACCCACTACTTCTTAATATTTATTTAGCTGGGAAATGAAAAAATGCATTGGTTTCTGTGTGTTCTCTAATTTTTTCCTGGCGTTTGATCACACTATTATAAACTGCAGGTGATATATCATTTATGATATTTAATGTGTCATGTTCAATTGAAATGTGTGTGCACTCAGCGAAGTGACATGTGTATATTCAGGCCTTAACTTGATTCTCTCCTTAGCAGTAACAATTTACAGTTTACTGATTTTATTCTCATATTTGACATTTCTTATTTTCTTCCATGTTCTTGCTGAAATGATGTATATGAAATAGTTCTGGAGCTTTTTAATGCAATGAAGAACCTAAAAATGGGCAACTTGTACAACACATCATCCCTCTTAGTGCTGACTGGCTTTAATCTCTCTTCTGAAAGTGTGACTCCAGTATTTCTTTTTGCAACTCTGAGCTATATGATCATACTTTTCTGCAACCTTATTCTAATCCTCACCATCTTATTGAACAAG